CATAAAGTAAATCTTCCTTAAATACATCTAAACATGAATTTTTGTTGCGACAGCTTCCGTTTACTTGTGCTTACACACACGTCAGAAGCGTACTGTGCCAGACAAGTTGAAATCGATGCAAGCGATGTTTTACAAATATGACTCAATCCACTGGTAAATCAGAAATAAATACAATATAACAAGTTCACCGAGTCAGGATTTATGCTGACTTTCTGCTTACCTGAAGTGGGGAGGGGTTTCAGATCTGCCATTGCCTTTTCCTCCCTGAACCACAGTGCTTTAGGGAATGTAGGCGGCAGAAGCAGCCACCTACTTGGATCAGCTCCTGTGTCAGTTCACATAACCTTGCTCTGTGAACGCATCACTCATATACGGGAAAAATTCAGAAGGCTTCGAATGAAACTGATGATTTTGACGGGTAGACGCTGAAATTATCTGACATAAATCAGGGGGAAATGCCTTTGGATTAACTAGTCTGAGAAGCAATGCTGACAAAAATAAAAAGGCCTCCTAGCCACTTTTTGTCAATTTGGTTGTCATTCATATTGAAAGCCAGAGGTCTCATCTCTCTGTACTGTTTAAACATCGTGACAATCTCTATTTACTAAATGGGAGAAAAGATAATTAATTCCTAAGTGCTGCTTCACATCTTCATGGCATTTTAACCCAGCTTCTAACAGAATTGCCTATGCAAAAGAGGTACACTGTTTGACGACGGTCCTGTTTATGAATCTGTAGCTTCCCCCTTTGGGAGATGGTAATGATGATTACACTTAGTTGAAATGGTACAAGTGAAAGGCAAACTAGGCTGCACAAGCAAAGGATGGGGGTGGAGGAGCATCAGCATTAAAAAACAAACACACAAACAAAAACTCCTATAGATAAACCAGTACTGGAGACAATGCTTTGATTCTGAGTATGTCACAGTGTCGGTCTTGGGTCATATTTCACCATCTAAATCTCAATTAGGGGCAAGTTGCCATTCTAGTTTGTGCTTATTATTAGGGCAGAAAAGGAAAAGGGGAGAGAAAAGCTCATTTAGACATAGTTGAAGTTCAAATTTTGTTGGACAAATATATCACTGTTTTTGAAAATGGAATGCATAGCAGCCTATAGTCAGTCAGATATAAGCATGTTTGGTTCCAGTCAAAAGTTTTCTCTTTAGGGGCACCTGGGTGACTCAGTTGGTTAAGCGACCGACTTCGGCTCAGGTCATGATCTCATGGCTCAGGAGTTCGAGCCTTCTGTGGAGTCCGACAGCTCAGAGCCCGTAGCCTGCTTTGGATTCTGTGTCTCCCTCTCCCTCTGCCCCTCCTATGCTCCCATTCTGTCTCTCTCTCAAAAATAAACACTAAAATTGTTTTTAAATTCTCTCTTTAAAGAAAAAAAAAAAAGGAAAACAACTGTGTGTAATGAGCACTTTACGTAATTACCACATATAATTTCACAATAGCCCTGAAAGGCAGACACTGGGATCTCTGCTTTACACTTGAAAAAGCCAAGTTTCCACAAAGACCAATCACTTGCCTAAGTCACACACAAAGCAGTTGAGCTCACTGAATTCCCAATCAGGTTGGCTCCAAGCTCATGCTCTTTCCTTTACAACACACAGCCATTATCGTCTTCTTTGAAGAGACTTGTGATTATGTCAACGAAGGTGCTTAGATTTATTATTAAAAATGATATGCTATTAAGTTAGAAACCAGTTAATTAATTAATGGAAGAAAATACTTTATAAACCACTTTCCATATAGGGGTACCCTGGAATTATACCTATTTAGTTTCACAGTGTCTGAGTCATTATAAACGAAGCTTTATTCTCCCATATAGAATTTTTCAGAACCTGGATCATTTTTATCACATGCTCTAGCTGAATTGTGCAGGAATCATCAATACTAGAAAAGGGATAAGACAAATTTCTTCTGGGTGTCTAAGATTTAAGGTTCTAATAGAAACACTTTTCAGAAAACTAGCTCTTGATTCTTCTCTACTATTTGCAGAAAACCGGAATATATTTAAAGTAGCTGTTCTAACCGAATGTGTGTTTGCTCCAAAGAAGTTTGTGAACACTGGGAGATGCAGTTCTTGAGTTTACCTGAAGGTGGCATCCATCCCAAGGCTGTAGGTGATTTGTATGAGGACTCTCTTTACATTCGCGAGCACGGTCATAAACTCTCTTCTACTGACAGGGAAATTTGTGCCGTGTATGGTAAACAATTCTTCTTTAAGTGACAATGCATGGATATGTTCTTCATATGGTTGCAGATACACCTCATCTTGGGCTGTGCTGATTCTCAAGTCACTTCCCTAAAGGGAAAAATAAAGTATAAAGGGTGAAAAGAAGGTATAAAAGGGCAAAAGTACTCATATTTGGATTTGCCACTTTGTGAATTACCCTCAGATTTTTAATTCCAGGTTGGCTTTCCTTGTCATTTAGTATATTTCTGGTATATATGAAAGGAAGAGAAGGCAATTTAAATATTAGCCTTGACAGATGCATGCTAAGTATAAGCTTTCTTATGCATGCATGACATCGTTTCCACCATGAACTAAAATAATGGCAACTCATACATGACATGTGATTACAAATACCTTTATTTTCAAGTGCACAATAATTAGCATATCTCAAATATATTATTTTATGGTGAATGTGGGCTGTATAGAAAGATAGGGAAGAAAAGTTAGAACAGTGTATTGTATTAAGCTATGGTTTTAAAGGACCTTTCTCTATGGGAAAACAACAAAAACAAACAAGAAAGGCTCTGCAGTCTAGCATTCACAGTAAGATGCTGGCATCATAACAGGGAATGTATTGACTGACCTTAAGGGTATCCTTCTTAACTGAGTTCGTTTACATTAATAATATAGAACTTCATATTTTACAGTTAAAGAGACCCTTTTTATCTCAAAGGAATTCCAAGACATACTTCTAGTTTTATAGATACACACACACATGCATACGTATATATTTAATAATATCATCCAGATCAGTTCCTCCAGTACTGGAAATATTTATTTTAGGGAAAGAATTTTGTTATTGTTTCAGATGCATGAAAGGTTCAAGAAGAACAACAAAGACTGGTGCTAAATCAGCATCGACCTGTTTGGAATCACAAATGTACATGCAAGTGTGTGCTTTGAGACTGTATGAGAGCTGAAGGAAGGGTACACATTATGTGAAAGGAAGAGTATGAGAAAGGGTAGGAGAGGGCCTCTAAGATATATTTAGGTCTCCAACACTGTAGAATTGCCTATCGCCCTCCAAATCCTGAACATAGTTTCTCCTATATCTTTTCTACTTAAATTGGGAGTTTGGAAGTCAAGATTTAACTACACCTATACAAACAAGCTTCCTTTTTCATTTGCCTCTGCCTAATATCAACAAAGGAGCAGACAATAAAATCTACTTGGAAGCAAGGGGAGATGGAAGAAATTAAACAATGTAAATCAGCATCTGCTTAAAACTTGATCATGCTCATATTTTGGGGTACATGGTCATTATATTTTTAATTTAAATTCCAGGTCTGTTTTAAAAGTCTTCTTTATCATTGCAACTTAATGAATATGGTAAGTCTTTTAGATGTATCTTAGGGTGAAACATAAGACTGGCATAAGATCGTTTCCCAGGATACAGTATTTTCTATAGTTGTATATTAACATCAAGCCAATCAGATAAGGAAGAACCTAAGAATGTAAAACAGCTGAACATAAGTGATGCTTATGTACTTTACCTCTAAGATAACCATAATCTGGAGTACACGTTCTGTATCTTCTTCCTCTTCTTCGAAGTCATATGATATGGTAAATGTCAATTGTCCTCCAGCTGCTGTAAGCTACAAGAGAGGAGATACATAATCATTACAAGATAGGAGATGGGCTATTAAATCATATTTTACTTATTATTTTAAAATCATTTTATTGTTCTAGAGGGTAGGATTTGGAAGAAACAGAAATCACAAGAGTGCAGAGTGAGAATGATAGACATTTCTTTAGCAGTAACCTTTATACGAACCTCACCCATCAACAGAAAGCCTGACATAAATATAAATTCATGTATTATTTTCCCCAGTATTTCAGGCTTGCTGAAATAGGTTAAGTTCTGTGAAACCAAACACAGCCCCTCCTGTCATTTTCTGTGTCTATCGCTTGAGCTTTACAATTCCCAAGCAGAAAAGGATCTCCGTCAAAATTGGGAGATTTCTACCCATCCCTGAGGGTCACTCACTTTCTGATGGTCTGAACACTTTCGACAAAGACATCACTCCATTTGACAGTGACGTTACGTAGACTATAAACTAAGCTGGGAAACATTGTTCATCAAAGAAAAATAAAAGAATAGTGGCAAATTTTATATTATGATACAATGAAACCAAAACTCCCAAAGAAGATACACTTTTCCCTGTGCAATTAAATATGCTTAGCTAGAATGAATGCTATTTTTCCTTTTCATTAAATATACTCCTTTCCTTCCAATATGCACGTCAACCCCTGTATTAATGATGCTTGAGGTTTACATCTTCTGACATTGACAGTAACCTTGTAGAAAGGAAAAAAAAAAACCAGGAAAGCAAGATCATTTATAGGACAGGAATCAACACTGGAGCTCGAGTGACAGATTCAATGCAAATACGGCAGTCCATTTTTAAAAATTCCACTCCGGCATTGTAAATAAAGACATTCATAAAACAAAGCTGATGATTTGTATTCTGCTGCTTCCTCCATGCTGACAAACAGAGACGCAGCTTCACAGCCGTCGGCTCTCTGTGGCCTCTTAGTGCAGACCCTGACCACAAAGCAATTCTGGGCGATGCACTGGATGGAGGAGGAGGAGCCCAGATTCCTCACAGAACCATTCCATGGGGAATAGCACATAGCTCGCCATGGCTGATTAAACAGGATTTTCAAATTGCAGCTCTGCAATGTCTTCTAAGAGCTCATTATATGGAACTCTACAAGGAAGTAGAATTCAGAAAACTTTTAATCCCCTGTTGCACTGAGAAATAGCCCTACTCTACTGTCTTCCCATATATAAAATAAGAAATATGTCTGGACTATAGCACATGGCATCAATGTGAGTAACGAAGGGTGAATCAATGTAAAAGGTTTTTGGTTCTATTAAGATAAGCATCCAAAATATCACCTTGTATACTTGTCCAAAATCAGCCAGACATTTTCTCAATAATTGTCTAGAAAGGCAGCAGGAAAGAATGTTTTTTATATATTTCAAAGAAGACTGAACTATTCAGGATTTTCTATATTAATAAAAAATATTTAGCAGGACTAAGGGATTGAGTTTGGGAAAAACACCAGGATATAGATCTATAATGTTGGAAAACTTTGGGGTTCCAAATATATTTTGATCATGTAACATCTGTACTATGTGTATTTATTTTCTATGGAATATGTTTCTCAAAAAAAAAAAAAAACCAGTAAGAAAAAAATCCATTTTAATTCATAGTTTCTTAATTTAAAAATTATACAAATGTGAGACACTCAAGATAAACGTAATGCCTCTTTTGCTAGTAAAAGGAGTCAAAATGAGCATAATTTGAATATCCAAGCTTTTCAGACCTGAGATGAAATAGAAAATGTTTGATTTGTTACAACATTTCATTTGTTTATGCTGTTTTCACACCTACTTGTAATAATTATAAAATCATCTAGCATATAAAATACTTTGAGAAATGAATGAAGGTGGAAATGAGGAAAACAAACAAGAAACAAATACAGAAAAAGAAAACAAATACATTGAGAAAAGGTCAATGATCATATATAAAACATGAACGAAGGAGTGGAATTAATTCAATCTATTCTTCTGAGGGCTTATCATAGTAATAGTAATAAAAATGAAAATTTGCCTTTCACTCACATTTCATAAAGCAATTTTCCCCAACTCTTTTCGTGGATCTTCAATACCTATACGTCAGCATTATTTGAACTAGTTTTTGAATCTACTAACAATTTTCATGGGTGAATCCATTTCACTTCTGCCCAAGTTATGTGAAAAACTGACCACTTTAAAAGGTGTATGATGAGGGGCGCCTGGGTGGCTTGGTCGGTTAAGCGTCCGACTTTCGCTTAGGTCATGATCTCGCGGTTCGTGGGTTCGAGCCCCGCGTCGGGCTCTGTGCTGACTGCCAGCTCAGAGCCTGGAGCCTGTTTCAGAGTCTGTGACTCCCTCTCTCTCTCTGACCCTCCCCTGCTCACGCTGTCTCTCTCTCTCTCTCTCCTAGAAATAAATAAAAAAACATTAAAGAAAAAAAAAGGTGTATGATGAGTTACCAGATTTGTTTTTTCTCCAAATCAAGTACTCATTTTTGGAATATGAGAATCACTATCTTTTTCACTCACTGTAAAGGTGTACATTTATGGCCATTTCTATGTTGGTACTTAGTCAAGTACTCTAAGTAATTTTGAAAAAAGATTAAGATATCATCCCATAGTTTAGAGGTCGTATCCTTAGGAATAATCACTTCATCTCTGTTAAATTCCTTCCCTTCTATTTTTTCTTGACCTCCATTATCTCTTCATAAGCAATAAACCCGAGCAGTTCCAGTTAGTGTGTCTTTCCCAACAAGTAGTTGCCATCATATGAAAGTCTTTGTGATGAGTCGTTTGTAAGACAGCATCTTCTTTTCTGAGGGATACTGTTTTTTTTGGGAAAATCCTGTAGCAATATTCAAAGGATAAACTCTCCTTTCCTATAGCTTTCGATGAAGAAGTCTCTGCTTTTTCTCCATCTACCTGTCACTCCATATTCCAAATGTCACATTTACTTGGCTATTCCATGTCTTTGCTTCCCCACTCTCCTATAACCCCTTCAGTATTCCAGTCTCCACACTCTCCATCAAATCCAATGTGCACAGGGCTGCCAATCATCAGCTGATTTTACTGTCTCTTCTAGCCATTATCTATGGTTATTTTTGACTTCCACTGCCAAACTCTCAGATACAGGACATTACACTCGTTTTCTTTATTCTTACCCATCCAGCCTTTCTTATTTTATCTATTGCATCCTGTCTTTCACCCTTAGTACTCCATTAAAAGTGTTTCTTGAGGGGCACCTGGGTGGCTCAATGGGTTAAGCAGCTGACTTTGGCTCAGGTCATGATCTCACGGTTCATGGGTTCAAGCCCTGTATTGGGCTCTGTGCTGAAAGCATGGAGCCTGGAGCCTGCTTCGAATTCCATGTCTCCCTCTTCTCTCTCTGCCCCTTCCCTGCTCATGCTGCCTCTCTGTCTCTCAAAATAAATGTTAAAAAAAAATGCATTTCTTGAAAGGTCATTTATGAACTCTACCTGGCAACCGCTAATGGACCTTCTGTTCAGTTTTATTCTTAATCTGTATATGGCTTTTACTAGTTCTTAAAATTCTTGACTCCTTTGTCTTCTATTGCACCAAACTTTCATGATAACTCCTTCCTCTGCCTTGGTCATATCACTGTCTTATTTGAAGAAACAATTTTATTTCTTTCTTTTTAAAATTTTTTCAATGTTTATTTATTTTTGAGACAGAGACAGAGTGTGAATGGGAAAGGGTCAGAAAGAGAGGGAGACACAGAATCCAAAGCAGGCTCCAGGCTCTGAGCTGTGCACAAAGCCCGACATGGGGCTCAAACTCAACCGTGAGATCATGACCTGAGCTGAAGTCAGACGCTTAACCAACTGAGCCACCCAGGTGCTCCAACAATTTTCTTTCTTATTCTATACTCAGTGTATGGCTGTCTGCAAGACTCTTAATCCCTTTGGATTATCATTTCTTATTGTCTCTCCATTTCTCTCTCATGAATTTAATTATGTTTACACCTGGTTCCTCAATCTATATCTTCTGTCCTGTGCTGTATCCATATATTAGTTAGCTCAGGTTTCCATAACAAAATACCGAAGACAGGTGCTTAAACAACAGAAATATGAGATCAAGATGTCAGCAGAACTGGTTTCTTCTTCAGCCTCTCATCTTGGCTTGTAGATGGGCAGCCATCTTTACCCTGTGTCCTCACATGGTCTTCCTTTGCATTGGAAGGAACGCACTATTCTATTGGCCTTTTAAAATTTTTTTTTAATGTTTTATTTATTTCTGAGAGAGAGAGAGAGCATGAGCAGGAAAGGGTCAGAGAGAAAGGGAGATACAGAATCCGAAACGGGCTCCAGGCTCTAGGCTGGCTGTCAGCACAGAGCTCGATGCAGGGCTCAAACCCACGAACTGTGAGATCATGACCTGAGCCAAAGTCAGGTGATCAACCGACTGAGCCAACCAGGTGCCCCTCGATTGGCCTTCTTCTTATAAGGACACCAGTTATATTGGATTGGGCCCATCCTAATTACCTCATTTTAATTTAAATACCTCTTTAAAAATCCTTTCTCCAAATATAGTCACATCCTACAATTCTGGGGTCAGGACTTCATCATATGAATTTGGGGAGGAGGGATACAATTCAGCCTATCTCCATCCTGTACTGAGTGATTGTTTAATAATGTCTCAAACACTCAACATACCCAGTTAATCTCATTATCTGGATTTTCACAGGAAACAAACTTGATTATTTCCCCAACTCCCATGATTGGGTCAGGTCAATTGCTCTATTCCTCTATTTCAAATGAGAAATTGTAGGTGTCACATTATACTGTTTTCACTGTATTCTTTATATCAAATTAGTCTCATTCTTATCCTCTTGAAATGCTTTTGTCTAACTTTCCATTTTATTGCAACATCACCCTTACTAGGTCTTCACCAAGCATTTGGAATTCAATTCTCTGACTTCCATCAGTTTGGGGGGTAATGTCTTATCAACTATTACTTCTGCTGTTGCCTCCATAAGGAAGAGCCTCCAGTG